GAATTTGGGGAAAGTGTTGGGGTGGGGCGAGGGTTGAGGGGCTTGGAACAGCCATTATTTACCACCCAGTCGGAAGTATTTCGATAGCTTAGCACCTGTGGGTCCTACCAGTGTCTGCCGGCTGTCAGCCCGGGCCTGCGGGAGTAGGTGAACACACATGCACGCGCATCTTGCCCTTACACAGATGAACACGTGTGCGTACCTGCAACCACGCAGGGTGCCCCGCGCCAGGCTGCCCACACGCGGACCTCCCCCGTCAGAGGGGCCTGGGCTGACCGTTGGGGGCGGGCACAGCCGTGAAGAAAACTGACGTAGGGAGGGAGGGTCGTGTTGCAGGCCCAGGTGGGGGCGGGGAGACTGAGCACCTCGGGGAGGGCGGAGCAGCGGGAGGGAAGAGGGAGTGGGGGCCCTGGTGGTCTGACCTCCCTCTCCTTACCCGACAGGGGAGTACTGGGTTGACCCCAACCAGGGCTGTGCTCGAGACGCCTTCCGGGTTTTCTGCAACTTTACAGCAGGAGGGGAAACGTGTGTGACACCCAGGGACGACGTCACGCAGGTCAGAGCTGGCCCCGCCTGCCGCTCCCCTGCCCCACCGTCTCCTGTCAGGGCTGAGTCAGGGTTCACGCTGCAGGCTCCCTGCCATCGCCCCCACAGAGCCGCTCACGTCTCCTCCCGTCCTCCTTTCCTCCTTGCCGGTTCTCGGCCAGCTCGGTCTCCTCCCCTTGACCAGCCTTTGTCCCCGTCCCCTGGCTCCCACTCTGGCCCCTTGTTTCTTCCCTGGCCCAGCTGCCTTGCTCGGGCAGGACGCTCCGCGGACCCACCTGTCTCCCCTGACCCCGAACCCTGCTCTCCTTCCAGTTCTCCTACGTGGACTCGGAGGGCTCCCCGGTGGGGGTGGTCCAGCTCACCTTCCTGCGGCTGCTAAGTGTCTCAGCCCACCAGGACGTCTCCTACCCGTGTTCTGGCGCATCCCGTGATGGTCCTCTGAGACTACGGGGAGCCAACGAGGACGAGCTGAGCCCCGAGACCAGCCCCTACGTCAAGGAGTTCAGAGACGGCTGCCCTGTGGGAGCCGGGTGGAGGGGTGGAGGCGGACCCCAGATTCGGGCTGGGGTGGGGAAGGAGGTGGGGGGACTCTTTGGGACGGCGGGTGTCAGATAAGCCCGGGGGAGCTCCAGCTGGGGACAGGAGGGTGGAAGGGTGGAAGTCAGACGTGTGCCAGCCCTCTGGTGGGGCTGCCCGTGCACACTCCACCTCACAGGGCAGTTGTACGGGCTGTGTCCACACTGCCATGCAGGTGCTGGGCAGGCGCATATGGGGGTGCAAACGTGCATGGGGTCAGGTGGGCACAGACACCCCCAGCCTGGTGCTCAGAGGACGAGGAGCCTGGGCCTTCGGGTGGGGGCTCCATGGGCTTGGGTGGCTCTTCCACACTCACGCTCGCCTCTTCCCCTTCTCCCCGTGAAGACGCAGCAGGGCCGGGCAGTGCTGGAGGGGCGGGCG